GGGGGGGGGGGGGGGGGCAGGTGATGGCTGGGCAACTATCACACCTTCGCTTGCGTCCGCAGTCTTTCCCTCGCTCTCTCCAACCGCCCGCCCGTCGTTCCCTGCCACACCGCCGCCGCCGACATCTGTTACGCCTCTGACTATGGCCCGCGTCGGCTTTGGTGTTGGTGTATGTGACAAAGAAGCAGGAGAGGCAGAACCAGCAGCAGTGACGGTGGCGGTTTTCTCTTTTGGCCGTCCGCCTTTGGCCGTAGACTCTTTCGCAGAGGACTGGAACACCTGCTCGAGTACGTTTGTTTTGTCAGCGCGGGAGGGGGTGGGTGGGGGGTGGGTGGGTGCGGAGAGCCGTTTCGTTCATCAGACGAGTAACGGATGACGGACGTTACACGTCCTGCTGTACCGCTCATCAAGCAAACGAACACCAAAACCTTGCCGTATTTTACACAATTCAGGTTGGTGTTTGGACACCAGGAGAACTTTTGCTTTCTGGGGAGAGGTAGTACAATCGCACGCGAATGCCGTGACACATCCAATAACTTGCACATGGAACGCACGTAACATCACGTGCAACGCATGTAGCACACAGATGTTGTGGTTGTGCTTGCGACCTGCCGGTACAGGCAGCACGAAAATATTTTTAAAAGCCTAGGGGATCCATCGGCGATCGAAGACAAGACCACCTGCGTTTCGACAGCCAACACACGAAATACTAGCAACGCCAACTTCGAGTTTATCTCGAGTCCCGAAGGCCATGTACATACGACATAAGACGAATGACGGGCGAAATATGGTGGCCAACAAGGGTTGAACGGTTGAACCGCTCAAGCAGCAGTTGCATCAAGGACAAGTTTCGGTACTCTTCCAACAAACTGGCACATTCGCAAAACACAAGCTCCTGCGCTTACAAAGCTTCTCATGTACCATGCATGTTGTTCGCAATGCAACCCGGGCTTCTTGGGTGCGTCTGTGGGAGTTTTGTTACCGGCGGTTGGGTACAAGTATTCATTACTTCGTATTTATCAACATCGTCACCATGAAGTAGATTGCAGCAGTAGTATTAGTAGAGGGTTGCGTTCGAGTTCTTGTGTTCCGACAATGTATTAGTAGAGGGTTGGGTTCGAGTTCTTGTGTTCCGACAAATTGAACCCTATCTTTTCTTAACGGCCATGTTCTGAAAACATGCGGGCGCCTACAAACTGCTGTACGGGGTCTTGTTTGCATGTCGGGTCTACCCTATCAACGGGCTACAGGCGATGTCGTATGCAAAAGTGTTGCGCTGGCGTCTAAATCTATCCGCCTCTTGCCTGTGCGAGTGCGCACCCACGTGTGCATGCACTCTGCTCCGCCATGCCATTTCTCCTCCTCGTCACGTCAGCAATAGACAGCAAGGTTCACTTGCAGCCTACTCTACCTTTTGGACCGCGATCAACGCGAGTGCATTGCATAGCATCAACATCAACAACAACTTTCTAAACGCATGCTCTACAAAAATGCGGTGCAACAATGAGCGCCTGTGCCTTTATCTTAGAATTGACGTTGGAAGTGGACGTACCTTCCGCAGCGAGGCCCCTTCCGTCGACAGAGAGCGAGAGATTATCGCAGTTGCTGTAGCAGGAGCAACACATCTCGCGGCACCACAACCACCGCAACTGGTGCGGGAAACCAGGTCGATGCGTCGGCCATATACAGCGCTTCGGAATACCCTTCCGACAGCAGCCATGGGCACCAAAGTTGAGACAACGAGAGACAAGAAGCCAAAACCAACGCCTGCAAGGAACAGTGACCGACACCCCCCCTACATGTGCATTCTACCATTTTTTGGAAAGGATCCATACCCCATTGTCGGACTGGGATTGGACTGCACTATGCGATGACCCCCTCGCGGAGTCCAGCTCGACTCATCCATTGACTGTCAAAGAGGAACACGGACACCTTCCCGTGTGTTCGGCGTGGAGCGACCACGGCCGCTTCGTTGGACAAAGGAGACACGCGCCCGTTGTTTGCGCAGACGGTGAAGGAGAGGAAAGGATGGCCGATTCGCTCAACTCCGAGAGGTTCCTCGTCCGCCTCAAGCGGCTTCACACGCAATGGAACAAGGGTGAGAGAGAGAGAGAGAGATAGAGAGCAAGAGGTGATACGCACAACAACAGCAGAGATGAAACTTGACTGCTCCTGCAAAGCCTTGAGGGGGGAATGGGCGGGTGTGTGGCTCGTTTTTAGTATCCGGAGTCGTTCCCGGAGAGCAATCGAAGAGAGCAGGCAGTGTTGCCGCTGTGGTGTTGCAAGTCCGCGTGTTTTTTTTAAAACTTGGACTTTATTTTCAAAAATGACCGACATGTTGTCGTTGTCCCCTCAAGACCATGTGTGTTTGCGAAGTCTACTCCAGTAGACGGCATGCCTCGTCTCTCTCATACTCTCGTACCCCCACGAGGCGATCCGGCATGAAGCAAGCAGTCAACCAGCCTGAAATCCTCCTGAAATCCTCCTTAGTCAAATTGACTGTTGTGGACAAATTGTCTCGTAGCGAGTACCGGTACAACATGTACATAGCGGGAAACGCTCGAATCCGCTGTCTGCTGTTGTGTAATTTAGCAGGCATAGTTGGCGGAGGGGGGAGGAGGAGAGGAGGGTCTGTTCGTTGCCCACCTTCCTCACGTCGTCGTGATCTTTCTTAGCAGAGAGAGAGGGGCGCACCCCCAAGACGGCGATGAGAGTTCAACGAGGAAGAAAATTTGGCCACCAATTCACGGTACTTTGGTCTCACTCCCTCGACGCTTGATTTCGTTTTGGTCGTCGGTCGCAAGACACAGGACACTCGACCGAACTCACGGCGCGGAAAGCCATCATCACAACACGATGTGGTCCTTTGTCAATGAGCTCAACAGGCTGCCCTGGGTGCCCGGTGCTCAAAAGTTTTAGCTTTTGCTTCTAATTTCTCTCCCTCGCGGGGTGCACGCGTACACTCCTGCTGGCAATTTGCACGTTGTGGGCATGTGGGTCACAGATTCGACCGAGAGCCACATCGCCCCTCGCGCACGTTTCGTGTACATACCTACTCCGAAGAGGGGCACAAGGAGCGGGATTTCTGATGCCCTGCCGCAAACCGGGAGAAAGATTAATCCGGGAGAGGAGAGTCATTTGTACAGGTTTTAATGTCGTATATTAAGACCTATACGTTCGTAAATTGTATGGGGTTTATTATGGTTATACTGAAAAGGGGTATGGTTGTATGGTTATCGGGCTCTACAAGTCTAAATCCAATGAAGTAAATAAGGCCAAAAAAACAATGGCTCCGGCGTGCATGCGGTGTGAGCTACTACAGCAGTACGTACTCTAAACTGTACTGTAGACCATCACAGCAGTTTCGGGGATCTGCGCCAGCACGTACAGAAGTGGATCGGGACTTTTTTTTTTTTTCGGACCGCAGCTACAGCCTTGGATCGTACCCGGCAGGCTAGACACATCCACACATGTTCTCTCAAACCAAGACAAAACTTCCACTAGTCTAAATTCAAGACGAAATAGGCGACGCGGCTGCTGCTGTAGTGCTCAAGTATTCTCACTACGTCTACGAGTCCCGGCCTGAGCGCACATTCCAGTAGAGGACGTCATGGAGCAAGCGGCTTGCACGCCTAGATTTGAGCGTTTCAGCAGTAGCCGCGTCGCCTAGTTTGTCTTGAAATTTGACTAGTGGCATGCTTGTCTTAGTTTGAGAGAAGGTATGTGGAGGTAGACTAAGTGATATGCTGTTGGAGACAAGCCCTAACCGCCGCTGTGTGTCAACTCAAGTATTCTTGCTGCGAACGCTTCCCCACTGGTCTCACACGCCTCGTGTGTGATTAATGATTGCTGGGTGATTCCTAGGCCTGTCAGAATTGAGATCGGTTCGGCAAGGACCCCTTCCTGAACCGATATACAGTAGTAAAGCAGATACGTAGACCTCTCTAATATGGCATGGGTTTAGACTTCGATACTAAATACTCGGAGTAAAGCCAATGTACGTAGACCTCTCTTTGTTATGGTATGGATTTAGACTTCGATACTAAATACTCGGAGTAAAGCCTATGCAATCAAGAATATAGTATAGGTTTATTTTATCCACACCAAGGTTTTAGAATGCGACACTAAATCCTATTCAATAATAATATACTTGAAGTAGGTTTTACTAGCTGTATCCACACTAACTCGTGCCGGTGTACAAAAGACGTCCGAACCAAACTGGATTAAGAGCACGAAAAATGTTGGCGAAGAGGCGAGGGCGGGTGGCTACACTAAACTCGGCATAATACAATTTTTCAGTAACGTCAACTTGAGGTATGGCTATGCATACAATAGAGCAATACATGCTAATGGATGCGGTAACTTCCGCAACGGTTCGTAAGGACGTTTTCTAGAACGGGCACGCTTTCCTAGAACGGTTCTCCGGAATGTTCTTTGATTCGACTCAGTCCGTCGACACGATCTCATGTAATTTTCCGTATCTCCTCCTCCGTTTTTCACCCTCTTTTCCTGTTGGGCATGGCGGAAATCGTCCAACAACTACAACTGCACGTGGCGTGGGTGGGCAGCGGCGAGCCTTCCGATGTGGGGCGGCGCCTCAGCCCTGTGCATCATGTCGGGCGCTCAGAACGAGGACGACACGTACAAGAAGTCCATCGCGCTGCAGCTGCACCTCATGGCGTGGGAGCTGCCCGACACGGTCATGGTGAGAGAGAGGACGGTTGGGCCTGCTCGCTCTCCTCTGCTTCATGCTCTAATAGAATAGGAGGGACTCTGCGTTGTGGGGGGGGCGTTTTGGTTGTCTTGCAATGTTTGTTTGGGCCATTGGTGACACACGCTATTAGTACGGTTTTCATGTATTGGGGCGGGCGGGAAGGGGTGCGGGTAGTCCAATGCCTGCTGCTGCTGTACGGAAGTAGTTTTTGCATGGATTCGGGCTACGAGTGTTGGGGAAGAAATTGTACCATTTGCTACGTGTGCGAAAGGGGAGAAGGGAAGCGTGTGGGCCGCTGCTCGCAGACGAACTTTGCTTTTTGTATTGCAGGACCCATTTTTCATGAAACGACTGTTACTGCAGGTTTACTCTTGCGGTCATCATGCGTGCGTGCAACTCGTCGTCGCTGCGTTTTTTTCCCTCCCTCGTGTTCCTCTATCCTGCCCTAACGCAAACAAGTGCTACTGGGCAGCTCTGCGCGTTAGGCTTTGTTTAGTTGTCCCTGGCTTGTAGCCATGGCATTTTTGAAACAAGCGTACTCATGAGTTTTTCTGCCTCGACCTGCTTAGGGATGTCTTGCAAGCAACGCTGGATGCTTAATCTGTCTCCTTGAAACCCTATTTAACAAGATTTTTGCTACGTGGACTATTTCCACGATGGTCTCAGAATTTTGCACACACCAATACCGCAAACCACGACCGCTACCAACGCCGCTGACACCAACCATCGCCTTTCCGACACTAAATCCCAACTCCGCTTTCTGTTTCTATGGCCAACGTTTGTTACTGCAGATCTTGGCGAAGGACGGCACTCTGTACGTGCTCGGCACCCCTAAGAAGTGCGCCTTTCTGGAGAAAGCCTCGGAGGAAGCCAAGGACGGAATGAAGGTGGGTCTACTGTATGCATTAGCGATGTATAGCTCATGGGGGTAACCTTTTGTGCCCTTGCTTACGGATAACAAATGAGAGAATGCAGTGGGGGGTGGTGGGGCGCAGTTAGTTGTGACTTTTTGTGGATGGGTGTAGGCGTGTGTTGAGAGACCCCGACGGGTGAATGCCGTTTCGAGTCCGTGGATATACCGTTCGTAGTCAGTGAACGTCAGCGTTACTGACAATGAGTGCGACGTCAGCCTGGCGGTGAGTATTGTGTTGTTGTTGTTATACCTCGGCCGGTGATAATGGTAATTGTAGAATCACCTCCCCGGTATATCAACTGCCGTTCCGGAACCGTCCGTATGCGGTGGCGCTACTGGCTTGTACGAAACAAGTACGTAGCCCTTTCTGTGGAAACGTTCTGAGGAACCGTTCTAAGAATGCTCCAGGTGGCATACCTGCCGTTCAAAGAGTTCGCGGGAAACAAAGCAGGGAAGATGTCAGCTAAAAAAGGGATGAACAAGTCGGTTTCAATCAATACCGGCGCACGGGGGATGTTCATGCGTCTCTTACGGCTGCAGGCAAGAACTTTCCAAGGGACGAAACGTACGGGGAATGTTCTTGCGTCTCTTGCGACTTGATCACGATTTTTTCATGTGTCTGCGTTTTCTTGGTTTGGTGTTGGTGCAAAGGTTGTGCTGCTGCCGCGCAACAAGGCCGACGCGAACGCGGAGAACCACAAGAAGCTCGTACAAGCCGTCAAGAGGGGAGCGAGCGGCGGAGGGCCGGTCATCATGGGCAGCCTGCTCAAGGAGTCGTTCGAGGGGTAAGGATAGGGGAGTGCGGAGCGGTAGAGAGATTGCGGCGGAAAATTGGGGAAGATAGGACGGTCAGAGGAAGAGGGTTGGAGATTGTGGGGGCGGGGGAGAGAGGGCTCGAGAGGGTTGGCGTCAGTGAGAGGGAGGGAGACAGGAGACAGAGAGAGGGAGAGAGGGGATGGGCAGGAGTCGACAGAAAAAATGAGCCTGAGTTCAAACCTGCGATTCCGAGCACAAAACTATCTCGTGTGCTTTCTGGATTTGCTTTCATTGATCCATCCGTCCACTTACGCTACTAGTCAACGTCTCGATCGATCCATTGCCGTCCGCTGTGGGTGTTGATGGTGTTGGTATGTGGTCATGGCGCACGCAGGCCTATGTGCTCCGGCTGGATCGCGGCGGCACAGGCCGCGGGGATAGAGTCGGTGGAGGTGAGCTCGGCCCTCGGCCTGCTGCTCTCCGTCAAGGACGCGACGGAGGTGGAGATGGTCAAGAGGGCCGCCATTCTTACCAACAAGGTTTGTCCCGTGTCCCGTGTCCCGTGTTCCGTGTTCCGTGTTCCGTGCTCGGTATCCCGTGTCCCGTACGGATACGGTGGGTGTCTACCGGAAGTTTGGACCGGGTATGTATACGCGTCCCTGTCTGCGGAGATCTCCCCCCTGTGAGTATCCGTCCCCGGATGCCACGAAGCCTTCGGTCGGTACAATTTTTTATACGTCACGCTTGCATGATATTGAGTGATGCCCGGGAGCTTGAGTGTCCCCGTACGCGTGCGAGTGCTGCGTTTCTCGGAGGTTGCGTCGGTGGAATGCTACTCGCCAATAAAAAACGTCGCCGTACATACTACGCACATCGTGAAAGCATAGATGCGACGAAAACACATTTCGCATACCGTGCATCAAGAACGGAAACCAAAGTACGCATTGCAGCGCCACACCCACGGCACAAGCGAGCGCTTTCTCACGGCTTATCCCCCCCCTCCCCCTACTTTTTTTGCTGTCGGGGCGCCTGTTTTCCTGTTGGCCCTCGTCTTGTACTCCTCTGCTGCCTTCCCCAAGGTGCTCAAGTACGGGTTCATCAAGAAGATGCAGGAGGTCATTGAAGAGGAGGAGGTATGTTTGTTGACCTTTGCGCTTTTTTTGTTGGCTGGGGGGTGAACAAAGTGTCGGTGACTTGGACAAATCAATATTGTCTTTGCTCTTGGACGAGCAATACTGAGCGTTCTCTCTTATCCCTCGTGGCTTTGTATATTTGCTGAATCTTGTTCATAGCCAAACGAGGGGTTCTCACTATGGTTCGGGAGCAACAAGCACCAAATTTCCCCAGAATGACTGAGCACCGCCCCATGCATACACCCTCCCGCCCAACCTTCCATTTGCACATTTTTCCATTGACACTGCTACTATGCATTTGGTGGAACGACAACGACTTGGTGCCGAAACCGCCGGCGATAACACCGACGACGGCGATTCGCGCAGACGACAACACACGAGAAGCTGGCGCAGGAGGTGCAGGACATCATCGAAGACCCTTCCAAGATCAAGCTCAACGTCGCGAGAGATCTGGTGGAGTCGTGCTACTTCCCCATCGTACAGAGCGGTGGGCACTACCAGCTCAAGGTAAGGTTGGTGCACGCGACACGTGCGCGTGTCGAGGGTGGCAATCGTGACGGTGTTTGGTGGTGATTCGGGATGGCGACCGTCTTGGATCGGCGGTGTACGTTTGACTCTTACCAGTAGTCTTTTGCCGAAGACAAACTCGTTACCATTATCCTCAGGTTGAACGGTACTCTTGTCAACGCCATTGTTCCCCGGTAGGCTTTTGGTTCTCATGTGCGGGTGTTCTATTCTCATGAACAACCGAAATGTCTTCAATGGACGCGTATTCTGTCAGTGGTCGTTGATATTTTCAGTTTCATTACCATCCAATCAAAAGCCCAACGCGATGAAATGAGTTGCGGGAGTCGATACAACATGTGATTTGTCTTGCGTTCTGCACGGGAATAGGGCCAGAGATCTGTGGCGACTGCCTGTGGCGCACCATGCCACGGTTTTTTGTTTTGTGCTATCGCTATCGTTGATCGTTACTCTCTGTGGTGACTCATGGGATGGAGCATGTCGTCATGGTTCATTCGTTTGCTTTCCGGGTCAGGCTTCCGCCCAAAGCGACGAGAGTAATCTGAGCTACGACGTCATCCTCTGCTCCATGGGCGCCCGGTACAAGAGCTACTGCGCGAACGTGTCCCGCTCGTTCTTCATCAACCCGCCGAAGAAGGTGAGTGCACCGTCTCGTCCCGTGCCGTCCCATTCCGTGCCGTTAATTTATCCCATCACACCATACCGTGTACCCTCCCGTAGCGTTTCGTCCCGTACGAGTGTTAGACTTAGAAAAGAGGGCCCCGAGGGCATCAAAACAACATAACCTCATCTGCCTACACGGCGCCCCCCCTCCCCCCTTCTACTGCCCCAGGTCCAGAACACGTACCGCACTCTCTTGTCGCTGTACCACAAGTGCCTGGACAACCTTAGGCCGGGGGAGCCGGTGAAGGGGGTCGTCGAGAAGGCGCACCGATACCTCCAGGACAAGTCCCCACACCTCGAAAAGTCCATCACTAAGGTGCGGGGGGGGGGGGCTCCCAAAAATTCCGTGGGCGTTGTGGACCCCTCAAAAAAAAAAAGGGTACCTGCC